ATATATATACGCACATATATAACTGTAGATAATATATATAATATAATAACGTTATTATCAACTTTAAAATCAGTCAAAATGAAAAAAAAAAAACAAGATAGAAAGAAAGAAAGAAAAAAAGGAACAAAAACATTGTTATTATAATAGTGGGCCTCTTCGTTTGTTCAGTATGACCGTCGACGTATTATCGCTGGCAATCGGCTATTTAGTGATGGCGGACGGTGAAAATGCGCTGCTGGTGGATGCTACCGATGCTGACCGATGTGAATGAACGTTTTGCCATTTATTGTCACGCCTGTGCCACACTCTGGTCTCTTCGTACTGGTGTGATCTAGGAACTCCTTGTCTATAATGGTAAACAACGAGAAAACAGTTACGCATTACGTCTATGGTAATATGTGTGTTTTATACGGAGACGTATTCAGAATTTTGACATCCACACGATAGTTTTTGTTTGTTTCACCCCTCCATCACACACATTGCCACTGTTTTCAATGGTTAGCAACAAAGAATTAATGAACAAACAATTTATATTTTAAGAAATGTATGCAGTATTATAGAAAAAAGTAAAATGTATTAATAATTTTTTGTGTGTTATCACGCATCAATTTTTTTGTAGTATTTATTAAATAATGGCAATTTTAAAAATCTCACAGTTAAAGCAAACTTTTTTCACGATTGTATTATACTCAACCATCCCAAAACTTAATTTTTTCTGCCACTCAAGGTAGTAACCGTGTTTAGGGAATAAGAGTGCCAAGACCAGATCAATGTCGTTCTTAAACACATACATGTACCTATATTGCCTATACATTACGCCGTGTAACAAAACTCCGAATACATTGAGTTCACTATGAATGGTTCAGGGACCGGGGTAGTAGTGTATTTGTGTTAAACTACTATTAGTATAATCTTTTTTGAAGATTACATCATATAAGGAGTTTGTTTAAAGCCCTCAGGATTACCTAATAAATAATACTAAAATACCTGATATTAATGTTGTTAAAAATGGGAATGCCATAACATTTATTACATAAGATAACAAGAAAAATGAAATCTCCTTGCCCTCTAAAGAAACAAACACGGTGTAAAATGTTGCGAAACGCATCGTCAATCTTATTTCCTTTGTTTCCTSCYAGCTCTCTTTAACAATGGAGTTTTTCTTAAAACTGCAAAAAGTTTTCACTTTTTCTCCTAACATAAAAACATTTGTAAATTGCTTTTACATTACCAATAACAATAGCCTTAGTAGGAAAATGTTTTCTTCTTAAAAAAAAAGCCGACTGAAAAACTTACATGAGGTCTATTTTACATAAAACACGACTATATAACCGTTGAATAATTTGAATTAAAAAAATGGACGGAGGGGTGGTTTTCATTTGAAAAATAGAAGTTTGTATCACCACAGAGCATTCCTTAAGTAGGTAGTACAAAAAGATTTCAGTAATTTGAAAATATAATCTTTAGTTTAACTTAAAAATTCTAAAACTCAAAGGTCGAATACTTGTGCTATTAAACGAAAAACGAGGGGGGATATGATACTTAAAAATCACTATGTATATTATTAAAATAGAAATAGTGGTTGCGTTTTATTGTAACACGCAGTATAAGAAAATTAACTCGTAAATAATATTGTAATCTTATATTTTATCTACTTTAAAAGGTCATTAAAWAATGTACAGTGTTGKAATTAAGAAGTATGTCAATTATGGATATTAAATAGATAACTTACTTGTCGATGTATTGTACGAGTATAATGTATGCAATGCAAGCTGCATCGTCACCAAGTAAATGCACAGTAGGGTTCAACACGGTAGTATTAATGCCTCGATTTTTACCTAAAACTGTCAAAACGGATTCTATACACAACCTTGTGAACTGTGAGCTTGTAAAAAATGTTAATTTCAATACAAAACTAAATACAAAAAGTAACAACTGTACCATGGTCGAAGTAAAATTTATGAAATTCCATGCCTTCCAATAGGTTTCCGAGCGCTTCCGGTTCAAATGCTGTCATGTGTGGATCGCAAATTTTGCTATAAAATATAAACAAACATATCAATAATATTATCACGTTTTTATTGGATTTTACTACTACTACAGTAATATTATTTCAAAATTAATTTTGATAGCCATTTACGTTATAATGCACACTGTAYAGTGTACATATAAAATAAACTATAAGTAACTAAAGTTTAACTTAATATTTATATTAAGTATTGTTATTTTCTTCTGGCGTTTAGTCTTTTTGTTGTTTAAATTATGCTAAATATCAATTACCTATTATTAGTACTTCAATTTCGCCTATAAKATGTCATCTTCAATGATAAATTGGGCCGTTTTACTCATTATTCGTTTATTTCAATTGTTACTTCAATGTAGGTACTCTTAGATTTCTAGTCAATTATTATTATTATTATTATGAATGTAGTGTGTTAATATTCATATCAATGCCCGGAAAGTCTTATCTTATTAATTGACGACCCGATTTTTAATGGAAAATAACGATTCAGTTTAGTATTATTAATATTTTGAAGTTTTTAGAATTACCATTAACAATAAAAGAACAAATAAACAAGACTATTTTTGGGAATTCCAAAAAAAAAAATAAAATATTACTATAAAACCAATACATTTTTCATTTTGCTTAGAATCTAAACGTTTCACAATTGCATGTTGAGGTAATTGACGAACAGAGTAACAATCATACATAAAAGATTGCATACATTTACGGATGCACAAAGAACGTGAAATATTTATTGTTTTAATATAAGTATATATTATTATATAGTTATATTATACGTACGTATATCCCTCGAAATCAGCATTGTTGATCGATTCAATAAGTTGTTCGGTGATTTTAACGATTTCTTGTTTGCGTGCTGAAATAAGACCGTTGGAGATTATAAGCTGTTATATGATTACGTATAACATACATTGTATAGGTTAACGGCCATTCTCGGCAAATCCGACAGTGGTATTAATTTCTTTTTAATTTTTTTTTTTTACATTTTTTCAAATTATATTTAATATCATTTTAATGTTTATAGATTATAGGTATATTATACAAAAGCTTTAAACGCAATACGAGTGAAATAATAAAAAAAGTATGTAAAATAATCATAATATATACACTATACAGGTATATATATAATATATAGGTAATCTAATAATCAAAACGGGTTTTCAACAAAACTTATAATAAGTATATAATAATATGTACATTTTAATATTACTGTGAGGGAAAATGTGATATTGAAAATTGAATATAAAATACTATCTAGATTTGTATTTGTAGTTGTTTGAACTCACCTGAACCGCAAGAGTTAGTCGAGTGCTGCGAGAATGTCTTGTTGGGACAGACAATCCTCACGTCTTAGCGAAAATATGTGAAAATAAAACATAAAAAGAAAAAAGAAATGCAAAAAACGAAAACCGATATAGATGAGAAACAGAGAACAAAAGAAACAAACAAAAAATAGGAAAACACGCACAATATTATTGTTATATCAATGCGTGTTTCATCCTATATATACGTATAATATAAATATATATATATATACGTATATATTATATACTTATATATATACAATTTGTATAATATTATTATTGTTACGACATATAAATAGATACATTAATCATAATTCGGTCTATATTTCTATATCGAAGATTTCGGTCGATTGTCCATGTATATGCATTGTTTTATCGAGTTGCCTATTGCAGCAAGGGTTGAATAGTATAATATTAGGATGATACATTATTACGTATTACATCATGTTTGATGTAAGTACTGAAAAAGATAATTGAATATTATAATTAGAGCTGAAATGCAAACGCACTTTGCAATTTTTTCTATAGAGATATGTACGAAACGGAGCTATTTCGATACTAATCTATTTCATGAATGTCGAATGACGATACCAAAGTTGATTTTGCATATTTCWTTTGGATTTTTTTTTATGGTTTTTAGGACGTTTAATACGTAAAATTAAATTTAAAAAAAAAWTTATTTTGAGATTTTATCGAAATTGTATTATCTACTATCAACCATTAAAATATTGATCTAATTTAATTAATATTTGAGATTTCATATAATTATCTGATATAATTGATATTGATACAAACCAAAAATTAAAAAAAAAACATAATTATTATTAGCAGCATAATCTAAATTTACTTGGTATCTAACAATTTTTTGAAGACAAATCAACGAAATTTAGAAATATAAAAACATCTCCCAAAATTATCTCTCAATTATAAAAATAATAAAAATAAAATATTTTTTTTTTTTTTT